AGTCCCATTCTCTGGTAATAGAGGCTGCTGAGGATCTTGACCCTCAACACCAAGATCTATTAATTCAGTAGTAGAAGCTACAACAATATCCTCCTCCTCCTCCTCCTCCTCCTCCTCCTCCTCCTCCTCATTATCACTAATCGAAACTATCTCAACATCCTGGAGATTCTCATCATTCTGTTCCTTTGACATCTCAATCTCATCCAACGTAAAATACTTCTCAAGCTGCTTCATCTCTGCCTCCTGGAGATCGAATCTTGATGCACACAGGAATAGCATGATTTCTTCAATAGTCTCAGACTTTAAACGGCCGCGTCGGTAATGGCAGACATCACGCGCGGTGTTAAAAAGCCGCTCAACACCAGCACCAGTTGCAGGGATTGAAAGAAAATCTCGAGCAAGCAATGCAGTTGCGGGAAACCGAGACTGGTTCTCACGCCAAAAATGAAGTGGTTCATCTTCGACTGGGTCTAGAAATAAATTAGTATAGAATATTAAAGATAAAGACTCTTTATGAAAGAGTTAAAGAACAAGACTGACCACTATCAAGATACTGAGCAGCCTCATCTCCAACAGGTTTTGCTATAGTCTTGCTCCCACTGAGCATCTTGTTGAGTTTTGATGTAGGTCTTGATGATGCCTGGGGTGTAGGTGAGGCTTGATCTCTGGCAAGACGTTGCTGATATGGAAGCAGTGCTGACTGGAATGATTTGCGATATGCAACACGCCACTGTTGCTCCCAGTCATCAGTTTGAAAGAACTGGAATTTGCTATCTGGTGCAACCATAGTACAAATCGCAAAGATATGTCCTTTCACACCATCTGTTTGCGAATAGTAGCCACCAAGCCTCTGTCGGCCAGCTTCAAGTGATTGGAGCATCTGCTTTTTCCATGGAATCCGCTTCTTCTTTAGCTGACCTATTGACTTCTCAAGATGCTCAAAGAGTGCATTGTAGAGCTTGAAAACCAGATGTGTAGTAACCTCCTTTGTCTTTGACAGCTCAGTAGTGTAGTCAAAGAAAGGCTCTGTAATACAGAGAAGATAATCAATCTGACGCCACTCCTCATTATTAAGCAACATCTCTTTACAATCATACTGCTCACAGAATGATATAAAGTAGCTGCGTAGTCGTTTGGCACGTCGAAGCATCAAAAAGGTTGAGTTCCATCGAGTTCGGACATCTTGAATAGGCACTAGCCTAGGTTCTTTAGGCTGAAGCTGGAGAAAGGTCTCTCGCCGTTGAGGACTGGCATGGATGTAAATTGCAAGATAGCGGACCTTGTTCAATGTGCCTGAAATCTCATGTTTCTGTTGTTTTGCATTTGCCTTTGCTGCAGACGATTGCCGATCGGTCCATTTTGTCTCAGCGGCATCATTTTGGGGTACAGCTTTAAGACGATCAAGAAGCTGATTCAGACAGAGCTGGATGACATGGGCAAGACAAGGGATTCGGATAACAGTGGTCTCACTAGAGAGTGCTTGCTGAATTGTATCCACCAAAGTTTTGTTGTTTGTCGCATTGTCTGTTGTAATTCCAAAGACTCGATTTTGGATGTTGTGATGGGTCAAGGTCTCAAGGAGAACTGCGCTTAGATTTGCACCAGTATGTGAGCCATATAATGGCTTAAATCCAAGAAGAACCTCTTGATATACCCAGTTGGCATTAACAAAATAACCAGTGATTGCCATAAAAGCCTGGTTATAGGGAGAAGTCCAACAATCTAGTGCAATCGATATTTTTGACTCAGGAGGAAGGGTTTTGAGAGTAGAGCGTTGTTTATCTTGGATAATATCTCGTAATCGTCGCCGAATCGTTGTTGCAGAAGGTATCATCGGAGGAGAAGGTGCTAAGCGTGCAGATCGGATAAGGGTGTGGAAGGTTGGATGTTCAATAAGATGGAATGGTAGGCGATTTAAGGTGAGAAACTGCAATAGCTGTGTCTCCCATGTAGTTTGTGAGAATGACTGAGTAGCTGTTTGGCCCTAAAATAGTTAATATAAGATAAATAATAGTAAATAGAGAACATACTTCTGATATTAGGAACTGAGAGATATCCTCTTTTCTGTTGGCCTTGACCTTTTGGCAAGCTGCTGTTTTGAGATGCTTTAACAGAGTTGATGTACCATATAGACTTCTGCCATTTGGTAAAATTGATGCAGGATGCTCTAAGATCCGGGCACAGTTTTTACACATAACCTTTGGTGCCCCATCTTTACAAGCGGCAACCTGATCAAAGTGACTCCAGATATCTGAATTGCGATTTGTATCCCATTTGAGATTGCTTTTCTGTCCAAAGTCTGTCTGGAGCCACCAATCAACCCAATCTGTGTGAGTCATGCTGTTGTAAAGTACAAATGCCTTTCTCCGATCGGGGCCAACACGAGTAAATAAGTCAGGGGGAGGAAGATTGCTCGGTCGGAGAAAATCAGGCTCACTACCTTCAATTGGACAAGAACCAAGAATACTGTTTGTCGGCGTAATAAGAGGATTTGAAGGAGTAAAATCAGTTAACTGACCTGTGTCCCCCTCATAAAGAGAGGGCAGAAAGTCAGACTCCTGGCTTTGGCCTTGGGACATATTGACACCAACTGAAAAATAGCTGTAGAGAAAGCGAGACATATTAGGAGAGAACATACCTTTAGCAAAGAGATTGACTGAACAGACAGATTCTTCTAAATCCAGCTGGAAAAGGGGATAAGTAAAAGCAATATAGGGAAATGATATTTTATTGGCTATGGGCACAGATCTGATCCACTGAAACCCATCACCAACCCATCAAGCCCATGTGATATATCGAAAGCCCATCAAAAACCCATCGGAAACCCATAATACCCATCAGAAACCCATTTAATACCCATTCCCAACCCATTTCCCACTTTTTGGGTCGAAAAAGATTTTGACCATGGGCAGTTTTTGGGCGAAAAACCATCCCACCTATAAGATAGACTCTTTGTCTCTAAAAGCTCTCTATTACCTGGGTATCTATAGTAAAAATGAATAAATAAATACTAGTAGACTTTATTCTCTATGAGTATTTATTAGTGCTCTAGATTTTGGTAGTTCTTGAAGTGAAAAGCATTTTTGATCCCTGTTATATTGGAGTATGTATTACCTTCCTAGAGATATATATCTCCATGTTCTTCCAAGGTTAAGCGTCAAAACAGCCAAAACATTACATACTACAAAAATAGAACCACTGCTACCTAAATTTAACAATTTGATCTGAAAAAAATAAATAATTTGATTCAAAGATTCTTCTGCTGATTTTAAAAAATGTATTTTGAGAAGAGACTGTAACTATACAGCCATGAAGTCATGAATATCAAAATTACAATGATCAGTCAGCTGAATTATCCATGCCAAGCCTCAAATTTATGCACAATATGGGTTTTTTGTACCCATATGGGTACCCATGAAAAACCCATGGGTACCCATCGGGATGGGTGCACCATTTTGAAAAAACCCATAACCCATCATGGGTTGGGTATGGGTCCAAAAGTTGGACCCATTTGGACCCATTGCCGAAGTCTATTTAGAAGTAAGAAAATTAGCTCTCTTAACTTAGTTATATTTTCTAAAGTAACTTTAGGGTCTATAAGGATAAGAAGATAAAGATTCTTATAGAAGTTAAGTATCTTAAGTCTAATTATAAAAATAATTAGACTATAGAAGAAAGATATCTTAAGGATAATAATAATAAATATTTTAGTAGTTAGAAGGACAACTACCATTTGTGCCGACGGCGCCGGATCCGGCCCCCCCCTCGATCGGGTTTGGCGTCCGCCCCCGTCGGCCCCGTTGCGGTTTAGCGTGGCCGGATACGGTTAGGCGAAACGCTATCCCCAAAGTGGTCCCCCGACCCACCACACCCATCTTAAGTCTAGTGCGCCTGTATCTGGTTTAGTGGCTCCCGCTTGCCCCAATTTGGCATTTGCTGCTCTCCACCGCCTCTCGGCCCCGCCAGCGAGAGTATATAACTCGGTGCGTCGCTCGACGTCCTCGCCTTCGTCGTGCTGAACTTCCCTCTCGCCCAGCATACTCCTACGACCTCGCAGCACTGAAATGATACCGTATTTCCGGCTCGCACGGCATCCGCCCCCTGTTTCAGCTGAGCGTCACTCGCCCTGAGGACTGCGCCTTCTCCACCAGCTTGCCTACATACAAACCAATCCATTTGTCTTGAGATCGTCCTCAATTCCAACTGTGGTGGCCGTACTGCAACATTGTGCTTGACACAAGACTGGTGTTCTTCAACGTATGGCTGTACTTTGCTATACCTTTACTCTCTCGCGCGCCTCTGTCTTGCCGTCGTGAGCGCCATCGACAAAGCCTGACTGTCAGGAGACTGGAGATTAGCCATGTTTCCCAGGGTATTTACGATGCGGCGTTGTCCGAGACTCTTTTCTCCGTGCGCTGGTTACTCCACGTATTCTTGTGCCATTGGCTTCTCTTTGTCTCCGCCTGTCCACCATTATGCGACGGTGACGCAAAATGAGCAAATGTCTTGGTCGTCTACGGAATCCTTCGGATTGTTGGATCCCCGATTGGGCCAGTCTAACTGGGATGAGCCCCAAAGTACACTTGAATGGACACTGGTGCGCGTGCCAAGTAACTCTCGGGGACGAGCTTTTGGCTCCGGCCCTCTTTTCAGCAGGGCGCAGCAAGGCAGATTGACGCTTTCATTGCCAAACCTCTTCAAATCCGACGATGCGACGTTATTGTCCAATGAGAAAAACCCCTCATGGGGTGGTCCCTGTGCATGTGGCCCCCGGTCATTCTCGAGGGGTTTGTGCCGACCGCATTTTGCCGACAGACAGTAGCCTTCTCCGTAGCATGGTCTATGCAATTCCAAAAAAAATGCCCGGAATAGCGAGACATAAGGAATAGGGGCCGTAGAATGTGCATATAAAGGATCTTTCCAGCGCCTCTGAACAGAAGGAGCATGACCTCCGACACTGGCTTATTTCTCTTCAATTTATCACAATAATTTATCACAATATGCCTCCAATAAGTCTCGACGAAATCATCCACTATCGTCCGCCTAACGAAAAAACACAATTCCAAGGGCCACAGTCCATCAGTTTATACCATCAGCATAATTCAAATCCATCATCTGAGGGCCCCATCCTAAGCCGTCCTTTCCCACCAAATCAAGTCTGGCCGTCGGGATTTCTTTTATCGGCACATGAACAGTGTCCTCAAATGATTCCTCGATCACCAGTTGAATCCGTGCCGTCATTACCACTCACTGAGCCTGCTGGGGAGGTGGCTTTAGATTTGTCGGATGAGATGAGGATGGATTTTCCGAATGTGACTCTAGAAGAGGATAACGACGTCCCAATATCGAACGCTCACTGGTCTAAAAGTGATTTATTGAATGTTTTCGATGGGGCGTCACTTACAGGTCCGGGTGACCATTGTGATAACAGTACGTCTCAGAGATTGATTTTCTCTATATCCTATCCCGCCCGGAAAGTACCTTAGAGAATTAAAGGGCTAATTTAATGTATTGCAAGCAGGGAGTCAGGATGATAGGTGGTGCCAGAGCACTCATATGTCTCCTTTACAACATCCTGGCGAACCAGACAGTGTTAAAGAGCCCACTATTTCAATCCTGGCATTGCCCGGAGATGATCCTTTTCCCGCGGCCGAAGCGAACAAAAGTGAAAACAAAACATTGCCTTCTATATTTGCAGGTCAGTCCTCATTTTCATCTTGCTATTAGCTTGTCACCTAATTTTGGTGTACAGACTCAGCCAAAGTCGAGGACAGAATTTTGCAAGATTTCAGTACCACTGTGTCCGCTACCTCTAAGGAGCATCTCAATATAACAACCAACGAACATTATTTGAGCTCTACGGATGAAAATGACCCTGATCCATCATTTGGTCTACTGTCTGGCGATGTTGCCCCGTCAACTGGCGATGCCGAAGCTGGGTCAGATGAGCTTAGACAGTCGCCAGTTTTCACGAACTGTGAAGAAATAACCCCCGAGGAATGCGGTGGCTACTCGATTGCAGAATTCTGCGAGAGTATTCAAGCCGAGGCAAACGGAGTAGTATTTACTGATGCTGAGAAAGAACTTTCACAAACAGAAATTGAAACCCCGTCGACAATCAACTCACCAGGGCGTTGTTCCATCTCCATATCGCCTATATCACAGCGTGGTGAAGGCCAGTCAAAATGCACCCGAGCCGATACAGATGCAAATTTGCCTTCAGTGTCGGAGCTTCAATCTGTCGTCATCACCAATTCACGTTTCAGAGAGCGAGACATGAGGAAAATTGCACCATTGGCCCCAACGTCCCGTCCAAAAAGAAAGCGAGGCCCATCCGCGTCATCACATGGCGGCAGCTGCAGCGACAGCTCTAGTGACGCTGATGATGCGGACGACGTCAGTGAGAGCTCTATTCTATCCAACCGATCGAAAAGAGCTGGGCGGGTGGCAGTAAAAAGCTCTCCTGCTCATCTACGGCATAACAAAAATACTTGTCACAACCTCTTCTCGCAGCGTCGCGTTTCTCGAGCCTCAAAAAATGAGGAGTCCCACCCCCAAATGCCGAGGGATCGGCATCCCGTATCTAGTCTGTCCGATATAGAGACAATTCCCATTCGAGGTTTCCTGACACGGGAAATACTTCTGTCGAAGGTTGTTTATTCGATTACCTTTGAGGAGCGAACAGAGCACACCTGCCTGCAGGAACCCGATAAGACTCCACCAGATTGTGAGCGTAAAGCTCAACGCAGAAAGTTACCTCGGCAGAAAAATCACAAAGTTGGAAAATTAATTAGACCAGCTCAAATTCTGTCTAAAGACGACGAGCTTTTGATCGAATTGAAGGAAGAGAAAGGATTCAAGTGGAAAAAAATTGGAGAATATTTCCCTAGCAGATCAGTGGGCTCACTACAGGTGCGGTATTCTACACGCCTTAAGAACCGGTCTGGTAGAAGCGACGGTCTTTCAGCGACAAATATCAAGAGCAAGGCTACCGAACCGTCATTAATACAGCGATACGGTCCGCCTCGGCACAGACAAACCGTCGACCGTTACTCCCCAGTCTGAGATAGCAAGACTCTCAAATGATTATGTACCACTTATCATCCAGAGATACCTTGATCCCGATGACAGCGAATGGGACCGTTTTCCTTTCGCTGGTGAAAATACAACACCGGCGGCACAGGACCTTCAAGGCCTCTATATTCTCAATATCTTCCCGTGTATTTCCTCGCTGGAAGATGGCGACTTTGACCCCTTGACCAAAATCATTCAACTCCGCAGCCCTCAGGCATCATACTTGGCGGCGCAGCAGGAAGCTACTCAAATAGCAAGCTGTACCCCCACCAGGAGATCTTCCAATCGCCCTAGGAGGCAATCGACTGCAGGTTCGAATAGGAATCATTTTTTAGGTGGAAATTAGGCCAAGGCCTGACCTTCAAGCTCTGGAAAAGAATTCGGACACGCTGAAACCTTTGGGAATTGATAGGGAATAAGGCACATGTGAGTGTGGCATTCAAGGGCTATCTGCCATGGAACTCTTGAATGAGTTTTTCGGTCATGTACACCCACAGTTTTACGTTTTGTGCAAGATAAGATACATAAGTTTATAATCAACCATTCTCGGATGGACCCCCTGCTTCACGGTATTATGTTAAAATTGTGGGAAAGACGGCAAGCGGAAGAACTTAGAACAAGGCATTAACACATATGAATAGAGCAGTCTGACACTGCTGGAGTACTCAAATTAGCTGGGTGTCTTCAAAGACCAACGGGGCAAGACGCCTGTTAGCTCGGTGATGCATGTGCTGGTGCATTCAGGTAGCAGAAGCCCAACTCCAAAAGTCAGGAATGGCATCATTGGCTCGTTATATAGTCGAAATGCAATACCCCGATGCGGTCCAGCTGATTAAGCAGGAAAATGCATTATCCGCAAGTCAAAGTATCCAGTCTCGATTGAACGAGACCGTGTATTGGGAAATAATCAAGAAGGGCGCGGATCTCCTTGATCCAAAGGATCTACCAACCTCTAAAGGCCCTCTTGATGAGTTCACGATGGCAGAGAAGGTCGCCACTGAGCGCTTCATGAGGGAAGCGGGCTATGGGCTTAGCCTCGCCAATCAGCGGCAGTGCCGTCTTTTCTGGAAACGGTTGTTCCAGATGCGTAGCGCGGGTGTTGACAAGATCCTCTTATACCGCACTAAAGAATTCGACCGCTTCTGCAAAAGCTATTCATCGGAGGCTGGGGCTGCTTTGGTAGAGATGGTCCGGCTCTGGGAAGAAAATTATGGCTTCTACATTAAACAACTGGAAGAATCAGTTGCCGAACAGAGCAAGGGCGATTTAACAGGAAGGCTTTGGCTGAGCCAATCGTTTGTAGCGGACAGGCTGTAGCGGACAGGCTCAATGTTCCAGAAGTTGAATGGAACAGCGCTATCAATCGGTGGTCCTCCAGCGTAGAGGAGATAGTTTTCCAATCGACAGGATCATACGAGCCATCATCTACACCGCTCGGTGGGTTCTTTGACTTGCAGCCAAAGGCAGTAACAACGCGGAACAAGTCTATTTTTGTCACCATGCAACCTAAAGATGACGATTTTCTCATGGTATGTCCTATCATTACCGTCCAGGAGGGAGACATTCTTGGGGTATTTGCTGGAGAAGTACGGTACTCCTCTGATTGCAACCCTGTCTACGGTATACCTGGTCCTGAAGAAAATCTTTGGTTGGACTATTCCATGGTGACGGGAGCACTCAACTTTATGAAGGTATCAGCCCCTGGAGGTGACTCTAACGTTCGTCTTCAGTGGGATCTCATCGATGAACACAACGAAGGAAAGGTACATCTCATGTGGAGAGTCTCGGTTATTGCTTCTCGTGCAATCCAGCCATTTGAAGAATTTATTCGCGTTGCTCCTCACAAAGTACAATATCTTCTGCATCAGAAGCGAGCATGCGCCAGGCGAGGATATACAAAGACTCGAAATTCCTGAGTCTTGGTTTCCTATTCATATCGCTATAAATGTAGTCCCGACTATTTCGCCTAAAGATAGAAAATAAACTATTACCCTGGTTTATAAGACCATCGCACTAGGATTAACAACAAGTGTAGCTTAGATCAGGACAAAGAAGTGAGCTGGTATTGGATATGTACATTTTTGTGACGGCAAAACTACGGTTCTTGGTCGAATGGATATGCAGATGTGGGGCACCGTGAGCTGAAAGCAGTTAGCGTTTCTTTGTACTCTGCTCAGAGACCATCAATTTCCCCACCTAGCTCAAGGAAGATCAAGATTTGCAGGTGCATAGGCTATATCAGCGGATTGCGATATGCCAATAGCCTGCGTCAGAACACTCGCATTACGATCCTTGAGGATCCAACACAGTTACTGCGAGAGGTCTTCCTGTTGGAAGCTCAATCCAAGCTTTGCACAGTTTTTTACAATATCATGTAGGTTAAAGAGCCCACCAAAGTCGCGTTCAAATAGTGTGACTACATTCAGAAAAATATACACGATTTAATCTTTCGGCATTCGTCAGATATTCGAGGTTTATCAATAGACTCACATAAAGTGTGGTGCATGTAATTGTGGGCTCCAAAAAAAGATACAATTTCCAGTGGATCCTCAGCTCAGATTTAATTTTGTGACCCACCAGGCCTTGTCTTTTCTCGATAGTTGAACCACATCATCAAGGCCCTTCAGCACCGCATCCATCTGTATAGATGACAGGAAAATGGGACCTTTTGAACTGAGATCTTCTGCCAGGGTCCTGGCATCAGCTGCATCACGCAATTTTTTGGCTGGCGTGGGTCTCAGCCCACAGCTATTAATTTTGAATACGAGAAGATCGAGCTCAGAGATATAAGGCAAGGAACCCGGCCGAACAGCTAGTATTGGGAGTGCTGTGGGTGGAACGTAAGGCGACTATAGACGATTAGATCGCAATTGAAACATTTAATAGGGGAAGTCTCACCTGCCACTCTGGCGTTATATCAATCTGGACCAATTTTCCGCCTGGGCTTTTGTAGAAAAATAGCTGAGCTTGCTGTTGGAATGGCGTTGACGGCAAAGCAAGGAGTTTATCTTTCACTGCCTTCGGAGCCCCTTGGACAGTTATCAGAAAGTCGACGTCCTGATACAAATAAAGTAAGCAATTTATTCATGTACTGAAAAAAGGCCATGGTAGAGGTACCTCAGTCGTTCGATAACCCCGAAGGTAGTTCCAGAGCCCTAGACCTCCGATCACGGCAATTTTGGCGTTCGAGAATTCGGGCATAGTTTTGAGAATCGCAATAACAGCACCTGCAGCAACCTCCAGTTCCGCAAAAGATGGGGCCGACATTCCTGTGAAAATGAAATATGAGTAGAAGGAAAGAAAAAATTATCTTGTTTATAATATCCTAAAGGTGGAAATGAAGTTCTCATTTATCATGATTTCAAGGCATGAGGCGCTAACTACTGGCTTGACCGCCTCGTCCAACTAATAATTAAATATTTAGCGCTGGACAGCACCTTTCCTCTCACGAAACTCTTCGAGTATTCCAAAACATTTTGCGTCTCATATTGCCGCCGATGGCTGACACAAAATTGCAGATCTTGTCTGATCTTCATTTGGAATCTCCTCAAGCATATGATATTTTCCACATCGAAGCCAAAGCGCCATACCTCGCATTGGTCGGCGACATCGGTTACGTCAAGGATAAGGGTTTCTTTAATTTCCTCCGCAGACAACTCAATGTCTTTCGTGTTGTGTTTCTGGTTGTGGGTAACCATGAACCCTATCACAGCAACTGGTCCGAAACGAAATCGAAGATCAAGCGCTTCATAATGGACTCGGCGCCCAAGTCAGGCGAGCCGCTCGGCCAACTTGTTTTCCTCGATAAAGGACGCTACGACATTTCATCAACAGTCAGCGTTCTCGGATGTACTCTTTTCTCACAAGTAGCACATGACCAAAAAGAGAATGTCAGTTTCGGCATAAATGATTTCTACCATGTTGATGACTGGTCCGTTGGAGCTCATCAAGCAGCGCATCGCGCTGACCTTGACTGGCTCAACCATGAAATCGATGTGATTTCGCGCCTAGAACCTGACCGCAAGGTTGTCGTGCTCACCCATTATTGTCCACTGAACAATAAAGAGGTTGTCGATCCTCAACATGCAGACAGCAAGATCTCCTCTGGTTTTATGACCGATCTATCCGGGGAGACTTGCCGGAAGAGCGGCGTTGTGAAACTTTGGGCCTTTGGTCACACACACTTCAATTGTGACTTTACTGAACCGAATCATGATACAAGATTTATTTCGAATCAGAGGGGGTACTACTTCTGCCAGGCGGCAGGCTTTGACAGCACGAAAACATATTGTATCTAGGAAATTACGAGACGACATTTTTACTGAACAAGTCGTCAAATGAATGATTGTCACTGTATGATCCTCAAGTATATTCTATCGACAGGCGACCGCTTGAAAACAAAGTACAGCGAAGCTGATCCAGAAGTAAAAACATCGAAGAATCGCCCTTTTTGAGAGCAAAAAAAAATTCTTTGTACTCATCCGCCAGGTTGTTCACATCAAAGATGTCCGTTTCATCCACGTATTCCAGGATATATGTCAAAAGCGCCATCCAGTAAGTTTCATAGATAGTGTTGTAGTCTCTGCAGAGGAGAAGGATCAAAGCTTCGCAAAACCTAGCAGCACTTGGAATTCGCACGAGTGAATATTCCGGGGATAGTCGTCCTCGGCCACGGCCAGGAATTGCTGATGGGAGCCGGACATCTGAAGCACTTAGAATATCTAGGGGCTTCTCGAACTGACCACCATGAAGGCCTTCGAATTCCCAGAGAGTGTCAGACTTCCTGTACAAAGACAATGCAAGCTCATCGCTGACGTGGACGTGTTCCGAAGGAGGCCGGGCCTGAAAACCTCGCAAATGAGGGCAACTCAGCTGCTTTGCACAAGGAGGAAGGCCGGATTGCTCAAGAGCGGACGAAGCTTTCTTAATTTTATCATCAGGAACGACAAAGGCTACATCCTATGATCTGTTAAGCAGTTTTCCCGTCAGAAGAGAAGCAGGTACAAACGTCAGTGATTGTTGGGACGCCGTAAATTGTCAACAGATAGTTGCCCCAGAGGACATTCGGTACACCAGCGGAGTCCAGTATTTGACAGAACTTCATAACAAGCTTGCCGCAAAGTTTATCATCGTCAGAAGCATCAGCCATGATTGATATATAGCTAGGATAAGTTGCGTGAAAACAGCGTGCCCGACGCGCTTTTCAAAAACGAATCATGGCCGCGTCTCATCATGTGATCATGCGGGAAAATACTTAGCCCGGTACCCGGTTCATTGATAGGGGCAACAGCATTTCTGGGTAGTGGGAGCTCCTGGGGCCCGTCGCATTAGTTCCCAGGGTTTGAGGGTCTCACGTATCTGTTGTTAGTTAGTTAACTAACTAACTAGTTAACTAATGGCGGAACTAAATTCTTTTTAAATCAGAAGAATATCAGCTAAGTACTGGTTTGATTGAATGATTCACTCAAAGCGAGACCATAAAATACTGTATATCCTTCGCAGCAGGCGCCTTTTACTGAAGAACAGAAAATGTGGTCTCGCGCGTTATTTAATCGAGATAATAATTTCGCCATAGTGACTGTACTGGCTGAGGATTTGAAGTAGGACTGAATTTATCCATTTACTAACGAGACGGTCGGTCTAGGTAATCTGAAACCATTTGACCTGACGTATAATCTAGGTAACAAGGACTCAGAACGTCAGCATACATGTGTCAAAAGACCAAAGCGGCTTGGTGCATTCAGTGCCTAAGGCATGTCGGCTCCAAGGGGGTGAGTAAGCAGGTAAACATTCCGCTCTGACGGGCCACTCCTCCGCGACAGCAAGCCCATGCGATGAAGACTTCGATTTACATCATTCCATTATCTGCTGACTACTGATTTCAACAAGCGATGGAAGAAACTATCGCAGAACTGCGACGTCAGCTTGAAGAAGAAAGACTGGCGCGGGAAGAGGCAGAGCGTCTCCAGGGCGAGGCAGAGCGTCTTCAGGGCGAGGCAGAACGGCGACTCCAACCCAACAACCTGTTCCGCCTCCTCAATCGCTGCCATGAATCTCTGTCCCAAGCGATCCGAGTCGAGACGGATGCGACCCTCACGACTCAGGGCACCGCGACCGACCCAGTGAATCGTCTTTACCCCAAGCGCATAGTCCCTTGGCTTGATTTCCCCCAGCTCCAGGAGCAAGTCTGGAGCAAATTCGACCGCACCGCTGCCTTCACCTCGCGCCCGCTGTTCCCTTCCGATACCCAAATCGATTACGTCGCCACAAACATTCAGCACAACCCGATCTATTCAGAAACGTCGCTTCGGAATTTTGAGCGAGACACTGTCGATAACTTTGTCGAAAAGGTTATTAATACTTTGCGAGACGATGAAGTCCTGCGCCATGACTTTGGGATCCAAGGCCGAGTTACTTTCTACGATCGCGCAAACCCATCGGAAACTTTGCTAGAGAACAGCCTGGGGCAAATGAGTCTTCAGGATACGCAGACACCCCAAAGGCCGGCGAACTCTAGGCATGGAAGAGGCAGAGGAAGAGCGAGAGGCGCGGCGCAGAGACAGAAGAGGGATGGCACTGCACGAAGACGCAATCGGCGCGCCGACCAATTCTGCGTGCATATTGTAGCCGATGAACGACAAATTCCGGTGCACGCAGTGGAGTTCAAAGCGCCACATAAAGTGACAATACCCGAATTAGTGGCGGGTCTACACCAGATGGATCTGGCCCGGGATGTCATTGATCAGGAGGGCGACACATTTGAATTCTATGCCACCCGCCTTGTTGCCGCCGTGGTAACTCAGATATTCTCATACATGATCGACAGTGGAGTTCGATACGGCTACATCTGCACAGGAGAGGCCTTTGTCTTCCTCCACATCCCGAAGGATGATCCCACCATAGTTCAATATTTTTTGTGCATCCCAAATCAAGACGTGCAGGCGGACGATGAATTGCGTCTCCACCGGACAGCCATCGGTCAGGTACTTGCGTTCACTCTTCAAGCGCTGACCGCTGACGCTCTTTCTCAAGAGTGGCACGATGAGGCACATAACAAGCTAACAACCTGGGAAGTCGAATATTTGGATGTGTTGAGGGAAATTCCCGAAACTCTTCGCAAAGACCCGCGGGGCTCTAATTATCGACCCTCGCACTGGAAACGAGATCAGAAAATACACAACACACGCTCTCGCACTCGTTGTCAGCCAGGCGTATCTACACCGAAGCACTCCTCGACTGAAGGCAATAGTAGTGAGGAAGAATCACATTCGCCAGCGGCAGCAGCAGCGTCGCGCAGCCGATCGAGCCGCGACCGAGGCAATAAAGGCCAATCAAGCAGGGAGAGCGAAAAGTCGCGAGCTGGCCGGAACAACAAACAGACTTCTCAAAAAGACGGGCATTCCGCACGACCATACTGCACCATTGCTTGCCTCTATGGCATAGTCAACGGAGGCCCTCTGGATAAAACATGCCCAAACTGGAAACTCCACGGTGGCCAGAGACACTCCATGGGTCCGCAAGAGTTCACACGCCAGCTTCATCGCCAGCTTGCCCGAGATCGAGAACTTGGTTTTGAACAGCTCCATGTCTGTGGTCGGACTGGATATCTTATCAAAGCTACCCTTCTTTCGCGCGGATATACTGTCATGATTAAAGCCACGACCATGGAAAAGCAGCATCGCCTTCGAGTAGAAGCAGACAATTATCGCTACCTCAGGAGTATGCAGGGTCAAAATATTCCTGTCTGTCTGGGGACATTTACGCCACGAATTTCATATTGGTACCATGGTGAGCTAATGGAGCAGATGATGATTCTCAGCTGGTCGGGGAGGAGACTCCAGCACGTCATCAATGATGAGAACACGGATTTCTTCCACCGGGAGCGCGAGAAAGCCTTGGCTGTATTTCGTTCGCATGGAGTGGTCCATGGCGACAGTGAGTGGCGCAACATGTTGTGGGATGACCTAGGTAGCCGTTTGATTGTCATTGACTTGGAAGACCTGAAACGGTTGAAACGCTCTCGTGCCCTTGAAGCAACTCCTGGGAATGCACGATATGGTCATCTCGCAAAGGTGAGAAAGTCCGGGCCACTGTTGAACTCCCTTGCTGTCTGCACATGACACCCCGCGGCCCATGATTACACTTCACCCAAGCTTCTTCATAATTCACGTGTCACTAGTCCTAAAAACATTTGTGGACATCTGGGATTGTATTTCACTCTCAGTACATGTACCCAAAGCACTACAAACAACAATTGGTTCACCATTGGAAAACTTCCCTCAGCGACTTCTTGACCAAGGTTCTCTTGAGGTTCTACCTTTCAGCTGTCCTAGGTCTTTCTTTCCCCTTCCCCTTTCCTCTTCTCAAATCTTTGATTTCGCCACCCAGCTCTCCACACAAGAAACTGCATCAGAAGGTGACTTCTTGCACTCCAAAAGAAAGGATAGCACTTCTGCTGGGCTGCATATTTGATCCGGTACCTTGCTGGCAAAATCACGAGCGAACGCTTCAATCGTCTCATCATCATATCCCTCGTTGCCTTGCCTTTGGTTCGACAACTTCTTGAAGACCGCGTGGAAGAGCTGACTAGAAATGTTCTAATCGGCGAGTTTAAGATGAATCCTCTTGTCTGAGCGGCCAGGCCGAATAAGTGCTTCGTTCAGATGTTCGATATGATTCGTGGTCATGATGAGTATCCGGCCTTCTTGAGATGAGACACCATCAAGCATATTCAAAAGCCCCGATAGGGTGACTGCTGACTTTGACTCCTTCTCTTGGTCTGCACCGACGCTGTCTCTGCGCCCCACCCCAGTGATATCCACATCTCTAGGAGAACAATACAATGCGGCGGGAGCTCAGAAAAAAGCTCCAGTAGTATACTGTCGGAGATATTCGACAATTGAAGCGTAAAAATATCCAGTTCATGCTTTCCTGCGAGTGATAGACTGAAGCTGGATTTTTCGGTTCCAGGTGGCCCAAAAAAAGATAGCCTCGTTTGTAGGGAATACCCCGTTCTGCGTACCAGCCTTGCATACCTTGGTCGTGGACCTTATCCACATCCTTCAATATGTCACTCTTTAGCTCATTGTCCATGATCACCGTGTAGAGGTAAGTCGAACTGGTCTCATCTGGCTTTTTTTCCTTTTCCCGTCGTGGTGCTCAAAGACAGACACTTTTCTTTGGGTGTCTTTGAGATACTTTACTCGGCACTCTTCGATCAGACTTTTTAAAGATGTTGGCATTAAGATCAATGGAGGACATGCGGAAATTCTCTCGATGCTCTTTGACATGGCAGTGAAGAACAAGCAAATGTCCCTTGTCCCAGAAGAGAAACGATTCATCCCAAGGAGAAAAAGTCACAGGCTTTCTTTGTTGAATAGAGGTTACTTGTCCGCTGTTTGGATCTCACTCGAACGATCCATGAATGGGCATTGTGAACAAAAGGTTGATCACCTATCCAATCAACTAGCATATCGTATGCTTCGTCGTAGTATGAGACATAGATTGTCGATATTTCGAGCCGAAGCACATTCACTTCGATAGTCTAATCAGGAGAGATATGATGCGGTTTCCTCGTAGTGTCCATGAAACAACCCCGCATTAACGTAAGCAGCTGCATACCCGATTCTGGGCTTGGACCATGCCATGCCCGATTCTCTTAGACCAATCATTTTGGACACTGTTGTCAAACTGGAGGATGCGGCTCTGAGCACTTGTTGATGTCGATTTGGTGTGCAAGATATCACCCACGGAACGGACCGTGAGTTGGTTGGTCTCAGACAACAGGTGGGACCGCTCAGGCCGCCCTATGTAACAGGGTTCCCCGCTTGAATCATGTTAAGGCTCTCAACAGCGGTACTTGCCCGTTTGAAAAATTACTTTCACTAAATCTTGCCTAAGCCTAGGCCACGATTTACTATCTACTGCTACCAGCGAGCGAGATGCTCATTGACTTGCCCCGAAGGGCAAAACCCAGTTGCTGGTCAATGACATGTTCAATGAGAGTATATAGGCTATCGACAGGTGCACATCCAAGATTTTGCAGAGATTGAGTGAAAAAGGAAGGACTGAAACAGACAAAGGATTGAAATGAAGAAGCCTAGTGACGAAGACATGAGATTGATGAAGACAGAGGCGAGTAATCTCTTCCCCAACACATAATTGACAGACAGGTGCTTGTTTGCTTCTTTGTCTATGGAATCCCCATGATGCCAGATTGGAAGCTTGCGAGGGCCTATTTCATCAAGTCAGAAACATGCTATGGTGGAATAATCGGAAGATACGACCTTATTGAGAACCCGGAACTTCTGCCCCGCACTTTTCACAAGGAAAAGGCTCACCATGGGTAACATTGTTGAAGCCGCACTTTGGACACTTCATTTTAGAATCGGAAGTCTTAGAAACTGAAGATGGCTTGTCAGATATGATCTGAAGATAATAGGTACTGTGAGGTAGGTAATAGAAGAGTTGTGAAATTAATACAAATTCCTCTGAGATACGGGGGCTGAAGGGGTGTATTTATAGGCCATCGTCTGATTTTGCTACAGAATGGATGGAATTTAGGGATTGTCATTAATGACGAGCTGCCGGATAGCTGGCTTTGGCCCCATTGCCTAGCGCTAGACCAGAATCATGCACTCGTACCCCTTTCTGCGGATGCTGGATGTATCACTTGATCGATGGCACAGACCCAATTTCAACGAGAATCTAGCTAATAAGAGTATATTCTCGCATCTCCAGATTACCAAATTTCCGCAGCCTGTATAAATCAAATATTCTGGCCGGCTCTTCACCCCCGCCTTGTGTCGTGCTAGGCTCCTTTACCCCTTTTTTGAACGACTTCAAAAAATAATTCGTCAAATCATGTGATGGCCAAAATCGCCAAAAGATCCCAAACACGTAGAATCAACAATGCAAGTAGATTGGCTTATTCCTGATTGGACATTTCAAGCCGCAAGTATCAGGCGGTGAAGATATTCTGTATTCAAATACTCAGTCCCATCCCCTCACCGCACTTTTTCTTAACATCCCCTTTAACCATTCATTATGACAGCTGAACCATCCAAAGGTTGTATTGCATGCGGATGGACTAATGACCAGCAAGATCAATGCTTCTATTCAAGCCATGTCAAATTGTTTTATGGGGCGAGCAGGCGGGGTGTTTGGTCGATTGGGTCCGAGGTGATTATGAAAGAACGTCCCGACGAGGGTCCAAAGAACGAAGTGAAAACGCTACAATACCTTGAAAGCTATCCTGAAATCCCAGTCCCAAAGATCTTACGTGATTGGGTGGATAGCAATGGGCGATATTTTGTACTCCAAGAACGGATCCAAGGACAAACACTTGAGCAGGCTTGGCCCTCACTGTCAGAAACTCAGAAAGTCACTATCGCCGACCAAGTCATTGGTGTTCTCAATCAGCTACGACAGATCACGTCGAAGTCTATTCAGAGTGTCGATCAAAGTCCTTGCTTCCCTAGCTTGCTTTTCTCTGACAGGGACTCCCATGGACCTTTCCACTCAGACCTTGAACTCTGGGAAGCCATAAGCCTTTCACTTCACAATCCACCTAAAATAATTTTTCCTCATCAAGCTTTGGAAGGCTTGAAGGAACGGCTGCCTAAGTGTGAGCCCTATGTCCTCACTCATTGCGATCTCAACTTGGGCAATATTATAGTCAAAGATGGAGCTTTGGCTGGAATACTCGATTGGGAGCTTGCTGCATATTATCCTGTGTGGTACGAGTATGTCTCGGCCTCTTGGGGATGGACCGAGGAGGATGCTGAGTGGAAAAAACTACTCCAAGAGCGTTTCAGTGTGCATGGTGATTCTCATGACGACGCGAAGAAATTCTGGAGGGATTTGCGTCAAATGAGAAAGTACCCAAATCTCGATGCAAATGGCCAAGAGGTCTTGGAGAGAATGCTTTGAATTCAATCATTTTTGTATTAGTCTGTCTTATTTTGGTCTGAATATTATTGCCTTATGTCCAATCAAGGTTCACGAGATAAGATTGTGTAATAGCTTCGCATCTGGCGATCACAAGACCCTAACAAACACGACCAAGCCTGAAAAGACAAAGTCGATGGTTATCACAGTCTCCTAATACTTGAGGCTCGAGCAACTCTCAGTCTGGTCGATATTGAGGATTTGCGCTTTGTTACTTATACGGGAGTAAACATCCGAGTGCCTGGCCTATGACAAAGATGCTAAGCACAAAGTCTTGCAGGATGCAACATGAAGTCAGTCATGCAGACCAGCTGTTTGTATCCACTTAAGGCAAACTTGATCAGCGATGCCCGTGCGGGCTTAGAGCGTAGAATTGAGAACAGTGGGTGGCGGGCTGAATCCATAGACCAATCAAAGCCAATCTTTCTGGCCGGAGGCCAGAAAGATTGGCTTTGATTGGCTTTAATTATAATAGACGTCGTTGCCCCGCTTCCCACTCCTAAAGTATAACTGTATGAATAGCCCTGCCATCTTCCGAAACGCTCCATACCCCAGAACTCATCATGATTCCCCATGAAGCAGAGGTGCTTTCAGCATTGATATTACTCAGTAACACACCCTATGAGATAATCAGCAATCATCAAGATCTAGCTCTGCGGACCTTGACAAACATCAGACGGGCACTTGATTCCACTTGTATCGCAGGTGCGGATTTTCCGAACAATGTTGAGGCTGAAGCTACTGGTGATACTGGCGAACCTCGTGGATACCAAGGAGATATCACAGCGTTAGAAGCGCAAGCTACACCCAAAGACGCGTCCTCGCTTCCCGCAAATTCGATAAACGCCATCCCTGAAGACAGACCTACAGATCTTCAAGAACTTGAGCCTTCCACGTTACCGGAATGCTCTTCGCAAAGCACACAGAGAAAACGAAAGCGACAGACGGCCAAATATACACCTTCCGCAGCATTGATTGAAGCTGCAAAAGCGCGTCTGCCGCAAATACTCGATCTTTGCAAGTCCAAAGCTTCTCTTTCCGAGATACTGCAGACAGAACAGGAAATGCAATTTGCAGACAAAAGAATTGATCATCTAAAACAAGTTGACGGCAATAAAACACCTAGCGATGAACAGAAACTTTTGAAGGGACTGAGCCAATTGTCTCTAGCTCAACAATTCACAGATTGGGAGTTCAACCGAGGCTGGAAGCCAAAATCTGATATGCTCTACGTTGAATCCCAATCCGTTGAGGTCGAATCCCAAGCTACTTGTGCGAAGTCTGGCAAGATGAGTCGATTTATCAGGGACCACGACTACCCCAAATCAGATCATAACGTCGTGCGGAAAGGAATACAAAAAGGATTAAACCAAATTGTGTTTCTCAGATTATTGAATGACAATTCAACCTCGTCTGACCATAAGAAAGCGGCCAAGGGGATAATAGCCCTTGTTACAATTTTCCAGTATGCTTTATTCCAAAAGTTATCAATCTTGGAGTTACCCATGCTCGCGAAGACCTTGCTTCATGAAGGAAAACATTCTGAATTCATACGGGACGCACAGGTTGTCTCACCATGGTTTGAACATATGAGCGGTGATTTCGAAATGATCTCACAGACGACGAAACGAGGGCCGCGAGACACACAAGCTCCGGCAAATGTGCCTTCTCATCCTGTCAACTGGCCTGCAGAAGTTGATACACAGGCACGACGCTTGAACGGCCTTTTAGGGCAGGATGAAAGGTCCGTTCGTGAACGTAGTATTGATGCTGCCCAGCCCAGCTTGACATCTCATGAGCTCACGAGCTTTTCCACTTTTCCTAGCCACGACTCAACGCTCACGAGAAGACCGTCAAATTCGGCATTTGTTGGCATTCAGTATACACCTGAAAGAACTCAAGTTTTACCAACAGCAGGTTCACACGACTTGGCTCAATTCTCTAAAAATACAAACAACATCGACAGTACCACGACCAGTGATTCTGTGTCACGCCTCATGTCCCACGATTTAAGTATGTTCTCCACGGCCCCTTCTACAGTCTCATTTCAACAACCTCTGGCTCTTCCACGGACATACTCCGCATTAGCCGTGGACCGGTGCAACCCCTTTTCGTGCTTTCAGGATACGCCGCAGGCCATCTCACACGAGCTTTCCTCTTTCTCCACAGCGCCAATTACAGATGCAGTGCATTGATGATTGAGCCGCTTTATCTGAAGATTAAAGTAGGATAAAAAGCAGACGCAGTTTCGGCTCGATCTTCACTTCATGATTTGCTTTCATGTATAGTCGCTTCCCCTCCCGAAGAGGCTTCCCTGAGGCATTCGGGTTGTTATCAAGTATTTGTATCGGTATTATAAATGCGTCTCCTTTGCTGTGGTGAAATGGCGCGAATTTAGGCCCGGGAATCTGTACCAATGAATAGCCCTGTCTCTTGTCAGCCGTACGATCTGCAGCAAAGAATGTTGAGCCATACCTTGCCAAGTAGGTCGAGCTCTTCCAGTAACGGCCTCAACTTGACGCCTAGCTCGTCTGAATCGTGAATTTCGAAATCATCAGCCTGCTTCCTGAAGAGAGCAGAGGCAGCCCATTCAGCGAATAGTTTGCGTTCCAAGTCCGCGCTCTCGGGCAGATCGTCCTCAAATAGATGTGGCTTGTCTGATGTTGTTTGCGACATCATAAAAGAGTTCCAACTCCCATCGAAATCAAGCGATTGAGCCACACTGGGAATAGCAAGATAATTTGAACGCTGAAAATGGCGGATCCAGGTGGGGTGAGAATGTCATGGCGGGGTAATCAGAGGCTTGGAATAACACGTGACCGAGCACCTCGTTGGGCACGAAAGCCAGAGAAAAGTATAATCCGTTTCTAATCCGGCGGATAGCATCAATAATCAACCATGCCACTAACGTAGGCGTTTGCGAGGAGTAGTAGAAAAATATTATTTCGGTAGGGTTGAAGCACCTACAGCGCGTTGACCGTATGCGGTTTCCAATGAAGGAAAAGAAAAGAGCGAAGGAGAAAAAAATAGTATTAAATCTTATTCAATCCACCGATACTCAGAACGTCTTCGGATGGACCGCCCACCAGTCAAATTCTACATTCTAACTCAGCTTATCGCTGGGCAGAGCAAGAAATCGTGGGACATTCTGAATCTATGAAGAGACACATCCTCTTTCTCTGCCTGCCGGTATCCAGAATAGACTGCTTCCCAGACTGCACTATTTCGGGGTTGTCTGAGAAATCGGCTCAGACCTTCCGAATGTTCTCCAGATGCGTCGAAATGCCAAGTAAGGAGAGCCAATTTCAGAAGAGTGGTACGGCTAAGGGTCTCTACAAGCGTCTTTGTGCATGCACACACAATCCCTTCGTCTGGAATGACGTAGTCCTGGTCGCAAATTTCCTGCAGAGCTTCACAGGCCTTGAGAACCAGACTGGCGTCGTCGCTGATTTCCTTGTCGGAAACCTTTCCGGAGTATGTCACAGCATCAACTCGCAGTTTCAATATTATTTTCAAGGCTGATGCTGCTGCACCTTGGAGAAAAAATGTCGGAATAGCCTTCGTATGTTAATAGGTGAAGCACCCGTAACGGATAATGACGACTTACCATAGGAAGTTCTTTTCTCTCCTTGAGATAGATTCTGGAGTTCGGGTCTCGGTTTTGACGAGGAATATGGTCAAAGGTTTTATAATAAGGAAGCTGCCATTTCTCTTTATAACAATCCCTGTTGTGAGCATCTTCAGTCCGCCAGATATTTTCTCATGGCTTGCCTGCAGTTCTCACTCGTTCCAAAATGCTTACAGTCCATTTTCCTTGCTGGAAATGATATTTCTTTGTGGGACACAACAGAGATTCCACTCCATCGAATGATTCGGACCAAAGTTCTCCTAACTTTACCGCTCAGCAAAGGCTCATTGAAAGCATAAGAACTAGATTCGTTACATTTTTAACCGCATTTTCGACTACAATACCAAAACAACAGATCCAATACCTGACACACATTCCTGTGAGACGCATTTTTTCTACTGGTGGCCATCATGTTTCGAGTAGGCTAAGCTGACAAAATATGAGCTGCAGTTAATCATTTCTGTACAGATAATGAGATTCTTGTACTTCCCCCGATACCCACACATATTCGCATATATTCCGACCGAGAGAAACATTACGTCTAAAAAGTCAAGATTCTCACCAAGGATGTCAAGGCAATATCAATCAGCGGAGCTCACTGTAAGCTTTTCTCAGAGCGCGTTCGTTGGCCGAATTCATAGGCTGATATCAGTTTTACAAGCCCAATTATCTAGATATCGAGAGATTGACCTCGATCAAATGGCACTGGCCCAGAGTATATTGCGTTCCTGGAGAACCTTGTGATGAATGCGTTTTATGTGCGTTGGGGTGAGCAATGAGCTTCTCGCAAATTCGAGATACTCAAGAATATCCTATCTTTAACAAATTTGACATGAAAAACAAGAAAAAGTCAAAGCGGCCTTAGAATAGATCAACTTCTGGGCTCTTTGCGCAATTTCTTTACAAGCGTTGTTATCTCGTCACGCCCGGTTTCAGTTATTGCTTCCTGCTCTTTAAGAAAAGCTATTAGCTCCCTCCTGTACCATACGCGATAAGTCTTACTGGCTCCATTTCCAATAAACTCCGGTCGCTTCAGTTGAATGAAAAGTGCATTTCGAGTGGTTTCGGAAAGTTTCGAGAACACAGATCCATAATATCGATCTAACTCGTCCGTCTTGCTGTACCGGGTGGTTTTGGCTGAGGGAGCCATCCTGGATTCAAAGGTGAGAAGTGGATTGCAGGCGATAAAATTGAAGCAAATGGCAGCGCTATATATGAAATTTGAAAACACCTAGCGCAAATGGGAATGGTGGCTTCTTCAAGTATCTATGTGGTCTCTCTATGGAAGAAGTGGGCAACATGGATCCTAGCAGATCCAAAGGTATATTTATTAGAGTATAAATCGGACATGCGCTATTATCCTTGACTGAGTAAACGATCGATCTTACTAACACTCGTTTGAAGCTCAGTTAAATGTGAAAGTTGTTCTATTCTCCTTTCTGGATAGCTAAAGTAGCAGCCTTCCAGGAGATCTTCGCTTTCCCATCTGTGCATCGCTACCGGCGCTTCTGCCTTGATGAATGCTGTCAGGTCGGCTTCTCTGTTGCAGTTCATCGCAGCTTGGATGATTTGAATCGATACTCTGCGTGCTCTAACGCTTGCTTACGGCCAATCAATTATACGGAGCGGCATAGCGCACAAACAGATTAAAGCACCGTAGCACTTTCTGCTACGAGCGTCCAAGATGTGGTCGCCTCTTGATGCAACAGAAAATTAAATCATACTATTAAATGCGCTGAACCCTCCTGGTTTATTTTATCAATATAATTCCATGTTTCGCAGCTGGTTGACCTCGGAACAATTCCGGTGCAATACAAGCCCCCGATACAGACAAGCGACGAGAGTCATACTTAGTTTTAGCCCTCTTCAAATCACGATGAATCCGATGGACCTACGCCCCCATTTTAGTGGCCTTGAACAATGTAAGCTAACTCCACACATCTATCTTCAAATGCTAAACTTGGCTATAGTTGTCACCGTCGATAAAGACTTTGTTGCGCTTATGACACCCCATCAGCAAAGCATCATTCATGCTTGCCAAGATAAATTTCGTCTTTCTTCTCAAACCTGGTTGTTTTCTCCTGATCAGGTATACGTGGTGATGATGGAACGATGTCCGCTTTGGGTCCATGGTCGCGAGTTCGGGCGGAAATTATATGGCGCTCTATGGAACAGGATGTCGGATCCAGAGTTCTCAAAGACCGAGCAGGGTATATTTACCTGGCTTGCTATTGCTTTGAAACAAGAGGTCTTTGTCTCGTATCACATGGGACACCTTTTCCCCATTGGAGAGAACAGACCGTCTCACTCTGCAGTGCTAGATCGTCTTGATTTAGCTTTTGATGAGACCACTGGTCTTAGCTACTGGGAAGCTCAATTTTGCATCGATGACTTCGAGATCATCCCAGTGATTGGATCCACGTCATATATTACCCAATTCTTCGTCAACCCTCGTCCGATACCAGTGGATTACTTGAAGCCTAAGATTGGAGACGACCGGCAATTTTCTTCGTATCAAGGTCAAGTAGCAATTTAGACGACTGCAATCACTCTAATGCTTTGTATGAGTCTCAATGTTCATGACTCGATTCGACGCGCTTGGCCGGACGATCGAAACTGCTCTAAATAATGGATATTCAGTTATCGCATAGTTACAGTACACGAAACACGCTAGTTGCTCAATGCATGGTTTGAACGAATACAATTTAGCCATTTCTCAACGGTATAGCTCCCGTGTTCTCTTATAAAATAAGGAATATCCCCAGAATAATCCATTTTATTCTTGTATTTTCTTCAACCCCGTACCTCAAAAGCCCCCAAAGCTTCCTGCTTCTCACCAGAATGTCTGCACAGCCCGATGAAATACTTCATACCCTTCTTGATACATTTGCGCCGGGGCTCTCCTGGATTGTCCGATTGCTCTCAGAAGTCATGGGCGTTAATGCCTTGTCCTACTTTCTTCCGCTCGCTGCCCTTCCCATGATCTCAACATTCATACTACCGTGGATTTGGGGATTCCTCGAGCCTCTTGTCTTCCTGGTTGTCTCATCAGCGGAAATCAAACACCGCAACAATTTATATCCTCAAGTCACAAGATGGATGTCCCGTGTTCAATTCTACAGCCTGTCGGGCTCTACTGTTATAGGAACCACGGACGCATTCGGATATCTTTGGGACTCCAATAAAGATGCCGTCGAGTTTGTAGAGACCAATGAAGCAGCATATCGAGGAAAACTCATAAAGTTTCGAATCACGCCTGGGCAAAATCATGTTCATTTCTTTCGTCATAAAGGACACTTGTTTGCTCTTTTTCGGGACCCACCGCGGAATCCTGGTGATGCTTTTTCGAGAATTTCCGAGAACATTCTGATTTACTACCCTTTTTGGAATAAGCGTCGCTTCGAAGACCTCGTGGAGACTATACAAAAGTTTGATGTTGACTCCCGTCGCGGGAAAATAAGGGTACTCTGTGCACATCAGGAAAAGCAGAACGCGAGTTGGCAGAGGATGTGTGATGAATGGCCCCGAAGCTTTGAAAGCATGGCTCTTCGTGGAACTATGAAACAAGACATCATCAACGATATTCAGAACTTTCTCAGCGAAGAGGTCTTCGATTTCTACAAAAAACGTGGCATCCCGCATCGTCGCGGCTATCTGTTCTACGGCCCACCCGGAACCGGCAAAAGCAGTTTCTGTCGAGTGATTGCCACCCAATTTGAGCTTCCCATATACATAATCAACCTCGCTATTGTTGATAGCTATGGACTGCAAGAACTGTTTCGCACACTACCTGCCCTTCCAGAACGCTGTGTTGTAGTACTGGAAGATATAGACACCGCGGGGATTCAAAGAGCTGGAAATTCTACAAGTGAAGATAAAATCAATCGGCAAGAAAGAGTCAATTTGGCCACTGTCCTAAATGTTCTTGATGGGGTTGGGGCACACAGTGGTCACATACTTGTTGCCACCACGAACGCCAAACCAACTCTTGATGATGCTCTCCTTCGACCCGGGCGAATGGACAAACAATACGAGTTCCTATACCCTGATCCCGAGACAATAAAGATTTACTTCACTTTTTTTTTTCAGGACTACTGTACCGATACAGATCCATCGAAGAAGTCTCTTGGGCAGCTGGCTGTTGAATTCTCCCAAGCCGCCTCCCACGTTCTTGTATCACCTGCTTCTCTGCAGGAATACTTCTTGCGGTGCAATGGAGACCCGGCTGTTGCTATTCAAAACGCAAAAACCATAAAAGCTGGTCAGTAGGCAGATTTGAACTACCGTGATTTTACCTCAACACATCTACCATACTTGCAGAAATACCAAAGCACGTTTAGCGGGGGGGAAATATCTCGATCGATCTCGCTGAAGTTTACATCGAATTTATTTATAGAAGATTGTTTGAAAAAAAAACCTATTGAGATGGACAGGGGGCGACTCTCAAGGATATTATTTCTGTATTCTCCTTTATATAAAGCCGTAAGCTATCATCTGGGGTCAATTTAATTTTTCGGGTTGACTACTAATTCGTGTTCGTGTCCAGACCTGCTTTCCATCGATTTACGCGTACAGATTTTTTTGAACTGGGAATCTTGTCCCTTTCAGTCTGTCATAGCTAGCGTAATATAAACTCAATCTCGAGAAAAATCAGACTCAATCAAAGTCTCCACAGCTTCCTTCTGGGAAACGAATTGTCAGAATATCCCCTTAAATACGTCATGGACTCCAGTATATTAAGCCACTGTGAGCCATTTTAGCTCCATCATATCCTACGGAAATCAAAAATGACAGAGTGAAGTTATGTATAGCGTCCATCTTCTTTTCAATTGAAGACGGGCTTATGCGAGTTCTGAGAATATCCGCCGAATTCCTCACCAATTAATTCCATTTATATGTGACTTACGAGAAAGTATGTGTCGGTACCATGAAGAGAAGAGATAGCAGCGATGCCACAGACTTACTTTCAACATTTTTATGGGATCAAGACCCAATCCACGTTCAGTTTGTACTATTCGCTGTATTCTATAATAGGGTTCCTTCTTCACTGCAGAAAATTTCCACAACAAACATCGGTGCCAAAGATAATGATTCCTTACGAGGTAGATGCTGCGTCTTCGAAGGCATCTGAGTATCAGAAAGCCAATAGAGAGGCTCAAAGACGATCACGAGCCCGCAGACGCGAGGATAGACATTTTATACCGCTTCCAGACGATATACAAGGTACGTGCATTTCTTCACATATTTCTAGCGCTTACTGATGATACAAGTTGGGGCCTTGGGTATCCGGAAACATCATGACACCTGCTTAATATACCCCCGCGAGGGAATTCTCCTTCAATGCCAAAGCCTCTTCGGTCCAGGAAAATCAGAATTTAAGCCCACCAGGTATTTATCGCGATAAAAGTGACACGGGCTGGTAGCGGTTTCCAGAAAGAGCTCAATTTTCTTTTTCGCAAAATGCAGACAAGACTCTGCATGCCTGGTGTTCGTGATACTGAGGAGGGTCGTTTTATCCGTCTGGCATGTGCATTCTCCCGAAGAATCTCCCTTCAAAAAGTTCAACTCCCCTCTAATGTGGAAAATCAAGGATTCATAGTGTATTTTCATAGTGTTATTCCGGGAAGCTGGCAAATGAAAGTTCACTTCCCGAATTCAGGGCGTGTTGAAACTGTGCTCGGCAACACAGCGAAGCTCATCCAACATGTCAACTACATGGACTCTGCCTCTACTCCCCAACCAAAGAAAATTCCCCCACAAGAGAGAATCTACTAAGCACTTCAATCTCCGCGCCAGTGGTAAAAATGCCAATGGAACTTGTATTATCAAGAAGGAGAAAATGATCTGGATAGAGTCGAGGATTTCTAGCATGCTTCTTATTCGCTACGAAAATACAAGGGATTATTAGTCAATTCAACATCACAATTTTCTACTTTCATTTCGGTGTAATATCTCTTCCGGAAGCTTTTACCAGCAAAAGCCCTTGGATGTAAGTATTACCTTATTTAATAACAAGGGCCCATCCGTATAGCACCTCTTCTTCGAGGTTGTGACAGGTCGCCTGATATTAAGGCCAAGATAGGCAGTCTGTTCTATTTAAAAGCCGGTACTGTTGCTCCTGCTTTCAAGTAAAATACTTCACCATCTGTCCCTAAAAGTTGTCAACCTTTATCCCAATGCTGAAAACCTATCGCTCGGCCCCGCGTCAAGGGCCTATCCAGGGTCCTAATGGCCGCCGTTTTACCAGGCGAATCACCTGGCGCTCCTCAACATACAAAGCTATGGCCTCGTTGTGGGTATTAGCAATGCTTTACATCCTCTGGCTGATTCGAGACGTCTTCTACCTACTTTTCGATTCATCCAAATTCGAAAAGCCTTAAACTCACTTGAGTGCACCACCAGATACTCGTCGTGCAAAAGGCTCTGAGGATGGCGATATGAATCCCGGCCGAGGGTTGGCTCGTTTGGGAAGGCTACTCAGAGCTCCCGTGGGGACTAGATCCATGTTCCCCAGAGGCATTTCTCTTCATGAGGGTTTAGGTTCTGTGGTTTATGCCTTCGTGCCCTGAGCCGCTTATAGCCGATAGTTAGCTGTTTGTCTAATACTATTGAGCAGGGTGAGTTACCCGCTGGAATCCTGGATAGTTGTTGGTACTGCTGTCTCACCAAGTTCAGGCCTCGCGCTATTTGCCATATGTTCACTAAATGTCCATGTTGTAGCATCTCGATTGTTTTGGCCTCTTCGGCCATAGATAGTTGGCGGAATAATGGTAATACCGGTATAAAGCAGAGTGCAATGCCGGGCCCAAACTTTTCCTCAAAACGTAAGAGCTTCCGGCCATATTGGAGCGATTTCGAGGTGCTGGGACTCTTGGACAATCCTTATTGCTGGATAAAAAGAGACATGGTTCGTAGGCCATATGACCCTTGACACAGTCTTGGCTGGCTACTTCCGGTTTCATGAAGCCATTTTGCTCCCAAAGTGCTAGTCCTGTACAGCGATAAATCTCCCGCAACGCCACTACCCAGCGATCGCTATTCGCCCCCCTTGCTATGAGTGGGACAGCAGCGGGCTCCACGACTGGTTTTAAAATGACAGACGAGAGATCCAAGCGAAGAAGAAGTATGATATTTTATAGTTGAGCCAATAGGCTCCCGATGAGACGTTCTGCCGTAGATTGCCCCATGACGCAGTGTGCTTGTAGGTAGCTCGCAGAAACTCAGCTGGGAGTCACTGAACTAGCATGTCGAGAGGAGCTGCTTAATGTAACCTACTGAGATCGGAATTGATCGGAGCAGATGGAAAAAGTACATAATAACAGACTCAAGACTGCTCCGAAGCCAATATGATACACCTGATCCATGATCGGCCTAGGTGTGGCCAAACATAAATGCCGCCAGCCCCGTCGTAGGTGTATGGTTCAACTTTCTATTTTACGGCAAGGCACCTCCTATCCTGTTTGTTGAATGTTTTAGTCACAGCCATGGGGCTACGGTCATATTTTGCTTGCTTCGGGCTCCCGAAGGTATCAATCGTGTGTCTCCACCACTCAGCGGATGCTAATACGATACAAGACTACCCAACGTTCTGAGAAACAAAGCACGAGCCCAACCCAAAGTCCTGTCATGAGTTCTCAAGACACCAGACAGTGCCCAAGGCTGGAAAATGCTAGCTCCGCTTCACTCACAACCACGCCAATGCGGAACCAATACCAAAAGATTGAGAGAATGCGTCTGCAGCATACCGGTCACAGAGATTGGAAAGTGATTAAAGTGCGAGCTATCCATCACAATTCGGGAGATAGTAAAGAAAAGCCTTTATCTACCGTCGAAGTTGACATACTGGACGGTTATAAAATCAAAAAGACCACTTTGAAATATCCCGAGGTTGTGGACATGAATGGGGGTAGGGATGAACTGTTCAAATTTGGTTCCACCTTCGACGATCCTGTGATTTGACTCTTTTCTTGCATTGGACCAAGCTATAATGACCTTGTAGCTTCACGAATACGTACGCGTAATCAATTCTTGTATGGCTAGCATATCCAGGGCCTTTTTACCAAGAAGGGCCCGGGCCCAAAGGAATGGCCAATTCGGGAATAGTTCAGATCAGATGCGCTCCTTTAGCCCAACGGCCTTGATATTCAAGCCGACTACCTCAAAATTTGCAGACTCTTCTGCCAGTACCTGAATCTTTTTCACAGTAAGATCTTCAATCTCGGCGAGTAAGTATTGACGAGGGTCATCTGGCCCCCGTATCTGGATCTGGAGTCTCTTTCCATCTCCGTATGCTCTGTCGACAGTAATTACTGTAAGATCTTCCAGCATTGTTCGATCTGCTCGCCATTTTGCGAACGGACTGCGTACAATTACAGCCAGCATACCCGCGGCTCCACTGGCCAAGCAGTCGGCTGCTTCCTGCGCGCCCTTCCGCCACCCATCATAGCTTCGAGTCTGCTGCATGATCCAAGTTGCAGCACGGATATATAAATATCTCAAATTTTCCCCGGTCTTCAATACAGAAAGGTCATTAATAAGTCATAGCCCTTCAACTTGCGCCCGCAACAGAGAATGCTCTAAACGCCTGAGAAATGTCCTTGACGGACAAAGTCAATTCTTTGATTGAGACCGAGGGCTCAGAAATACGACTGTCAGAATACTCACCAAGCTATAGAACAAAGGTTTTCCATCGAGGCTGGTGCTACAATTCCATGATCTACAACACAAGAATGGGTAGCAATGATCCCCTTCGACCACGAGCATTTCCGAGCTATATCGAGGAGGTGGCAGATGAATTTACATATACGATCCTCAATGAGAGCTTGAAAGCAAACGAAGACAAAGACCTGGCATACTTCACTGCCCTTGCAAGTGGTTTGATTGACGCGAAATTTCCACCTCTCGGCTTGCGTCAGCGCATGCTTGAGATGTTCATGTCAGAGCCTGGAATCTTTCTGGCCGCCAAGATATTTTTTGATCAACCTAGAGAAAAGAAGCTGCTTGAAAAAAACATAAGAAAATTGTGGGTACTAGCCAAGGAAGAAGCACAGTAAGCGGTGCGCAGATGGGAACACCAAGGCTTCCTGGAAGACTGCTACTTTAGCTACCCCGAAAGAAAAGATGATCAACATTGGCATTTGACGGAGCTTCACGAGAGAATTTCCGAGGTTGATAGTTCGTTAGGTAAAGAATAGGAACATGTTTTATGTCAATAACACCAGCGCATACTTGATTTACACTTCAATAAATGCACTTTTGGATCTGCTAGGAACCATGTCGCTCACCTGGTCTTACCTGGACAGACCACATAGATACTCGAAGAAGCCATCGTTCCAATTCCCGCTATCACTTTTGAAGTCTTATAAAAAGGACTGCAATTTACTCTAGATTGATCGTATGCAATCCACCGCTCGCCGTTGAATTCCAAATGGCCCCCCTCAGCCAAGACCATGCGGTACAGCAAAACCGACGAGCTAGATCGATATTATAGATCTGTATTTTTAAAACTTTCTCAAAAAGCTCTACTTACGCTTTTAAATCAACTAAAGTGACCGGAATTTCCTGAGACAGGTGTCGGTAAGAATTATCAAGCATTATACAGGAGGGAACTAATATGTCTCTTAAGAGCTGAAAAGCATTACTGAAACCGAGACCGACCGAATAGGAACACTTATCAAAAAGTTGCGCAAAGATCCTTTGGAATATTTTCGTCGTGCATTGCAGCGGCCTACAATTTGTCTCGAGGGGTCGCAATACGAAGAGCTTCAAGGGATGCTATATACCAGGGAGACGGAGCTAAAGTACGAGAAGGGGGAATTTGGTTTGTTACCTCTTTTTCACTTGATCCACCTCAATACTAACAGATGGCCTGAAATATATGAAAATAATTTAAAATAGCACATATTGTTGTGCGTTGGGTAGCTTAGAGCTATCTTCTCTAGGGTAAAAATCCAAACTATAACGCCGCAGCCCTAAGGGGGAGGGAGGTCATTTGCCAAAAAAAAGATTGAATAAACATGAAGGATGGTTTTGTATTCTAGAATTAGGCCAAGTGCTATACATTGAATTTCCTAAGAGATACAGATGGTCTATGAGGGCATTCTGTATTTATGCTTTGGGTAAACTAAAGTTGGAAATACCAGCAATAAGCTTTATCGTCATGTCAAAGTTTGGGAATGGCTTTAATGATATGGGTAATTACAAACAGCAAATTTTCGAACCAGGAAGCCGAAACATGAAAGACTGGCCTTGATGATAAGAATCTAATTGGCGGGTGCTTTTTGCCTCATTCCTTTATAAAAAGCCTGCCTGACTAGGAATTAAAACTCATATAAACACCACTGCATATATCCCAAACTCATCACGCTAGAAATTGGAAATTTACTGTCTGGTTTGTTTCTCTTTCGATTTTGAATGAATATGTTGGGTATTAAGTCACTATTAGCCACTCGGAGAAGCGTCTTCTTCCCATGAACATCATGCTAAGGATACAACTTGTTCCCGATGGTAGGTCATTCAACAAATTTTTTGCTGGAAATTACTGACATTCCAAGAAACTGTCATTGTCAAAAAGAAGACAACCAGAGGGATAAGATTCATTCCAATTCAACGTGATCTTGCGATGGAATGCACCAGGATCTTCCCTGCCTCGTACAATGAGTACACTCTGGTGGAAATATGTTTAGTCTTGTCAGCCCCAGGCCTGTTTGGCCTCAAAAAAGGGATTAGAACAGGCATAAATGAAGAGTTAAAAATTGAGCTCAGTGCCCCGGGACTTGCTGCCAGTCAAAATGGTTACCTTATAAAACTATTGGAATTGCTGCAGAGAGAGGTCTATGTCTGGATAATGAATGGAGAAGTTGTTGAGTCTCATACCAAGGACGCAAAGAAACAACTCGCAACAATGGAAACGGTGACTCCTTTCCCGGGAAATGGAGGTGGTGGGAATGACTGGTGGCGGATGGAAGTGTCGATTAACTGCTACGGGATGCAGAAAATTCCAAAGACTGGGTCGGCATATGAACTTCTGCAAGTTGTTGAGAAGATTGCTTGACCTGGATCTTGTGTTCTTCTCTCGAGGTCATCCATCGGATGTTGGTAAATTGATTCTGATGATTGAGCATTTGAAATTCCAATCGATTGTATTTTTCCTCTGCCGAGAACTGTTACTCGTTCTTTTTACTGTATTATCGTCCTTGCAAACAACTAGCTGTGGTGGATCTCATATCAGACATGTGTCTGAGACCGGTGTCTTTATTTCGCGAGCACTTCGTCTATTCTACGCCCGCTCTTACATTTTCCTGTTTGTTATGTCTAATATAGGGTATTGTTAATATCCCGAATTTGCGAGAAGCATGGGAGAAAGCATGTTCTACAAATCATAGAGATTGGTCGCTGCCGCGGACTTGCACAATAAGGTAGTATCAGAGGAGATGTGGCAAGTAATGATATCAAAAATATAGTCTTTTACTAATATTGATACTGGTAGGCATTCTGGTTCACGGCTCAACCGCTTGCGTACATCAGTCTTCTCCTTTGTAGGCATTAGTATAGTACGTAACCATTGATTTACAGATACTATGATCAATAATACCAGGTTGTTACTATCTGAAGGAACATAGAACCTTCCTAGTAAGCTTGCTTTATCTTTGAGGTATCGCCAGACAGCTTTAGCCGTGGGCTCGTCAATCATGGATTCCGCATCTTTTACATTAGTGCAATCCGAGTGCTCCTTGAGCAGTGTACAGTAAGCAGTCAGTGCGGACTTGGCGCGTTAATCCTCGAGGGGCATAGCAGTTGGGTCAGTTCGATTTCCTGGTCGCCAGATGGAAGCCGGCTCGCATCAGCGTCCAATGATAATACCGTCAGGATTTGGGATCCGGCCACCGGTCAATGCGAATCCACATTCCATATCAGCCCCCCCCGACTTCGTTCAATTTGATGAAGTCAACTTCAATCATCTACAGTCATTCTCGAAACCGCCTTGACTAATACACACTCAATCACTCTTTTCCGGCCCCACCACCAAGGCCTTAGTGCCGATACTTTATTGAGCGGCCCACATTAAATTGAATACCGCATAAAATTGCGCAGTTATATTACAGCACCTAGTCCCGTAAGAATACACGATGTGTATGAAACAAAACGCCCTTAAAATTCCACGGTGGACCTCTGCAAATCATATGGAGGACCCCTCAATCTTTCCCGCCGTCTTGCCAAAATAATCAATCCCCTGCTATCGATTCCACGGCCTAGGTCCATAACTCTACTCTACCTTTTCCCCCCACAAACTAGAAACCTCATATTCATGGCCTAGAGCCCATCATTACAAACTGGATCAAGGAATCTAGGATCCTCCTATCCCATAACGATTACTCAGTCGGATGGATATGCGCCCTGTCAGTGGAGACGGCAGCTACCAAGCTGATGTCAGACGAAGAATATGCCCCGTACAGAACATCGTCAGCCGATAGATGATAATTTATATTCCTGGGCGCATCTGGGGACATAAAATCGTCATTAGTAGCTTGCCGAGTAGAGCGTACGGCAATTCATCAGCGACAACGGTTGAGATGCAGTTGGTGTCCAGTTTTCGCGCCATCTGAGTCGGTCTATTAGTCGGTATCGGAGCAGGAGTACCAAGCAGCAATGCAGGTATTAGATCAAGGGATATAGTAGTGAGCCAACCCACAGACACTTTTGGAGGCGTGATCTAATACCTTGGTAAAAGGTTGAACGAAGGCCATTTCCAGCGGATCTCGATAAAATTTCCTTTCAGGCTGAAAGATGGGTAAGCACTTACCAATTAGATTTCGTAAGTCAACTATAAACTAAGTGGTATTTTTTCGAAATTCTCATAATATTTTCTTAGCGTGGCGTCGTGGAGGGAAATGGGAAGATCGCATCAAAAGGCCCAAGCCGTCTCAGAAATATCGTCTTTGCAAAACGCAATCGAGTGTGGATAAAGAAATTTTCCACGCGGATTGGACTTTAAAGTCAGGATGGAGTTGCGAAAAGATCGGGTCGATTTTTGATTCGATGCTAATGTTTAGCAACGGAAATAGAAAGCATAGTGGTGAACATGACTTGCGTAAAATACGCCAGGCTGAAAGTGAGGCATTCGAGAGGAAAGCACTTCTTAGTGCGCCAAGAGTCTGGAAGACTTAGTAGGCGTTACAAACAAACAATTTATTAACGCCCGGCGGCTGAGCCGAAAGGGCAACTATCGCTGTTCTAAATTTACATGCCTTAGCTAATGCTGTGCCTCCTTGGAGCCCATACAAGATTCCTTTCAGTGTATGTCATCTCAGATATCAATATCTTAGCGAGTCCTTGTGGGTTAGTTTTTAGTGAGTAGACTTGCTTGAAGGCGCTTCTCCAAGTGTTCAACATCCTATCCTCGGCAGTTGAAGCGCGTCTACCGTCTCTGGCACAAGGTATATAGTGGGGGTTAGGTTGGGGTTGGGTCGGGGTAGGGTTAATCTGTGTTGGTCGATATGCTTAAGTGGCGTCAAGTCGGCCCGTGGTGATTGCAAACCGTATCGTGGCTCGCACTGCTTCTAGATTCGGCTTCCAGTTTTGGTCATCCAAAGGCGATTTTCCGCCTAGGAAAAATGATATGTTGCCTCGGTGAGTGTGGGTACATTGCAGCATTTCCGTCCGGTGCGTGGTCCACCGCTGACATCGGAAGAGGAAGTGCTCCACAGTCTCTCTGGCTTGTCCACATGCGCATTGTTCCGTCTCTGCAACGTTGATGCGATAGAGGTATCCATTAAGTCTCGCCATACCAGTCCGGAGCTGGGCTAGCACGCTTGCTTCTTTCCAAGACAATCGATCATATAGCTGTCGGGTGTGTTTCCCTGGAAGTGCTGCATCCACTCGCTTGGAGTGTTTCCCTATATTCTCTGGCAGGCAATTTTTGGGGACTGCTTGGGATCGTGAGATGTTCAGTGTTGTCGACTTCATCCGGGGGACCTGTGCCTGCGGGGTAGAATCCTCTTGGGTCGCGGTCCGAGCCTGCTCTTTTGCTAGGCCTAGCAGGTGATTATCTTCGCTGGTCGGGACCCAACAGATGTTGATGTGGTTCTCATGCTTCCGTAGCCTCTTGATCAGCTTGTATGCTTGGTAGATGTGTTCCTGGCCCGACTGTTGTCGAGGATTCCTCAGCGTGAGAGTCGCCGCTTTGTTGCTCGTGAGTAGCGTGACCCTGTACCGTTTCAGTCCCTGTAGCGTGCCCAGTGCGTATGCCATTGCTGCCAATTCGCCAGAGTATGGGTTTTGCTCTGCTCTTGCGCCCAGTGTGACAGAGAAGGTCTTCAGCCTCGGTTTTCGATACCGAGGTGGCTGCTTCTCAATCGCTACGCCGAATCCTACCTTCTCCTTTCGTGCTGAACTGCTGACCGCAATCCGCATGACTCCGCCTGTTTCGGTCTGTGTCACTGATGAATCCTGTCTATCGCCCTGTATACGTTCCTCCCATGGCGCTAATGTAAATGGATTGATAGTTTCCAGTGATTCCATCTCGATGCTTTTCAGCGCGTCTGCGACCTGATACAATGGCGACCGGTGGTATCTTCTGAATTTTCTGATCTGAGCTGTACTCCTGCGGAGGGGATTGGTTACTGATAGGGTGTGAATGTCCGTCCACATCTTCACGGCTCGTCTCCAGAACCGATGTCGTGCAGTGGTAATGTGAGCCTCGGCCTCCGCCACGCTGGTCGCAACTGTGAGGAACGTTCCTACAATCGCCTGCGCTCCGACTCGTTGAACCCGGTTGATCGGCCCGATATTCCTGTTCTTGAAAGCGTGCATCCAGACATTGGAGGCATAGTCCACCACCGGGGCCACAGTCGACGTGAATAATTGCCGCGCTGTTGCTGGGGATAAGCCACGAAGCCGTCGCAGCTCCATCGCTGCTTCCAGGCCTTTGGACGCCGCTCTCGCGATATGTTCTTTGTATTTGAGTCTTGTATCCATTATCACGCCAAGAATCTTAACATGGTCTTTAGGTTCAACGGTCTCTCCCTTAATGGTGAATGGCTCCGAGTCCGACTTGCGGGCCTTGGGGGCGAAGTGTATGATGGCAGTTTTCTCCGCTTCAAACGTCGCTCCACTTCTTCTTTCCCAGTCGAGTGCTTCATTGACGATTGTTTCGATACCCTGCCGGTTGCTCTGCGCAGTCGGTCCGGTCACCCACGCGGTAAAGTCATCCACGAACGCGATCGCTCCTCCCTGGCCGTCGATCTGTCGCTGTACTAGATCTGCGTTAAAGAAGAGGAAGAGGATCGGGGACAGGGGTGATCCCTGAGGTAGCCCCGCCTGTGGGAGGCTTCGCGCCTCAGATGCTTGGCCATTAATTTGGATAGTCGCCGTTCGCCCCGAACAGAACGCCTCGACCCACCGGAGCAGAACCTCCGGTATACCTCGAGCTTTCATCCTCTGGATCAATCGTTTCTTACAGACCCCATTGTAGGCTCCTTTGACATCGAAGCTGATCAAGCTCAAGACCCGTCGGCCACGCCACGCCGCGTAGATTTGCTCTTGCAAGAGTAAGAGTGCTTGCTCTGCGGACCGCTGCTTTCGGGCCCCAAAGTGACTAGTCGGAAGCAGGCCATAGGTCTCCACCGCGTGTGAGATCCTTTCTGCGATGATTGATTCCAGTATCTTCCCCAGTGTCGCCAGGAGTGAGATCGGCCTCCAAGCCTTCGCAATGGTATAGTTCTCTTTGTTCGGTTTCTTCAGCGGTATGATCTTCGCATGTCTCCATTGCCTCGGTAGCGTGCCTTCGTCCAGCGATGCCTGGAATAGTTCTAGGACCCGGTGTTTGACCGCAGGCCACGTCATCTTCCACATTATCACCGGTAGACCGTCCTCGCCCGGCGCTTTCCAAGATTTTGCGGCCAACAGCTGCCGTTCGACCTCTTCCATGGTGATGGCCGGCATCTCTACCGGCGCTCTCTGCGGCCTGGTTCCTTCATCGTCAATTCTGTCCGGCAGGGGCGGGAAGAATTTGGTCAGTAGTTCTTCTGCTTGCTCCTTGTGATCAGTGGTAGTGGTTCCATCTGCCCTGAGGAGCTGCGGGAGCTTCCCGAATGCTGCGTCGTCTCCCGACTTCAGGTATTTCGCGGCTTTCCATATATTATTGTTGTCCGCCAGAAACTCATTCCAGTGCTTCTTCTTTTGTTTGCGAATAGCATCGTGGTATTGTTTCGCCGCACTCGCGGCCATACTTTCCAGGTGTGGTACCTTTCGCCCTGCTCGTCGCTCCGAGCGGGCGTGGTTTCTCCAATATGTGTAAATCTGGCGGAGCTGTGTTAGGTCTGCCGTCCACCATCGCTTTGCGTGTGGCGACGGTTTGGCCCTCGGTGTTAAAGTATGCACCGCTTCCAATACCGCTGACATGAGTCGGTCGGTCTTTCGCTGCACCGTCCCTTCCGACGGATTGTTGGCTAGGGTAGTCGCGATCCTGGCATTAATTTCCTTCCATGGTGCGTTCTTCAGCAGAAGTCGTTCCGTATGCTGTGTGGTCGGCCACGGCGCATCGAAAACAGTCTCAATGGCGCAGTGGTCCGAGCCATGCTCTATTACGTGTATTGCACACTTGACCATCGAGTCTGTCAAGTTTTCCGAGGCCAGAACGAGGTCGATCGTGGACTCACAGTCCCCAGTCTGCCCTCCGCCGTGCCATGTCTTCGTGCCTCGTTTGAGTAGGCTACTCAGAGAAAATTCGTTCATGATGTCGATGATTGGGTCCGCCTCTCCTTGTCTTGTCAAAGACACGTTGTCTCCTCCCCAGAGTTGATCATGGCGGTTGAAGTCCCCTACAACCATGACCTCCACCACAGTCCCTGAATCTCGCTGTACCTTTGTGATTGCTTTTCTAAGGTGATCGCATGCGTCGTCCAACGCCGAGGCATCCCCTCCCTCTACATAAACCGATGCCATAAAAATCAGTCGCTTGGGGAAGCGGATAACCACCGCCGTCAGATCCGGCGACTCGATCGGCACTTGCTCCGCTTCCACTTCCTTATTGATCCAAATCATGCTTCGGATCGCCCATCGGCCCTCCCTCCAGGTGGAGGGAACCATCTTTGTCCATTTGTGATGTCCCATCGGGGTTGTCAAGAGCCGGCCTTGAATTCTTCTCGCTTGGGGTTCCTGAATCGCTAGTGCCACTGCCCCCTGAGTTTCTTCGTCGTTCATTAAACTGTCATGCACTGCTCCCTGTTTCCTCACATTCAGTTGGATTATTCGGAGTGTTTTATTCATAATGTGACGGATAGAGCTTCCGGCAATTTTTGCTGTATGATTCATGTGGGCCTCCGCATGGAACGCACTTTTGAACCGTTTGAGCGCAGTTACTGTGGCGGTGGCCCTCCATGGCGCATTTCGCACACCTCTGGACGTTCTTGCACTGGAATGCCTTGTGGCCAATCTCCTGGCAATTGTAGCATTGCATCGGTCGTGGTCGATATTCAAAGGCGCTGGTCACGCCAGATTCTCCCCCAGCGTGAAAGAACCCGTCAGCCAGGAGCCTCCGCGCGTCACTGCCTTTAGTCAGATACACGACCATAGACCCATATGCCTTCGCACTATCCTTTCTGCTAAGCCATGCGATCTTAGCCACGGTAGCTTCATTCTCTTCGCTAAAGGCTGCCGCAGCTTCAACTCGGACCTCATCTTTTTCATCTAGCACGGCGGCCTTGTTGACGCTGTCAACTTTGATCGGGTAGAGCTCGTCACGGAGTACCCGAGCTCCCGCGCCAATCTTGGCTTCTGCCACCCTTTTGACCAGCTGATGCTCAGCTTCGTCTCGGCAAGCTACCCTAATCCGGTTAGTGTTCTTCGGGTCCACAGTGACAGCGCGACAGCGCCAGTGCATGTGGCCTTCCATCGTCCGGATCTCTGTCTCAACCACCGCCCTGATTCGGCCTGCGGACATTCTCTCGTTTTCATTGTCTGCCATCTTCGAGGTATCTATCGTGCAGTATAACGTGTCAGTGAAGGTGGTCGGTGTCGTGTTCGATGATGAGAGAGTTCGTATGTTGCTCGGTTGACTGGTTGGAGGGGTACGGGCGACATCTGCATAGGACGGGGAACCAGTGGGAACGGCAGGGCTCATGGCATCGCGCAGGGAATGAATTTCGCGGAGGATCTCATCTTGGCTGTTCTGTGAGCATGATTCGCAGTGCGATTGCGGTGTTTGGGGCATATTCGTTAGGCTCTGGAGCTCATGTTGAACTTCTGCGAGGGTGGCACCAAATTCTTCCTTGACTTTCTGAAGTTCTTCTTGAACTTTCTGGATCTCTTCTCTATGCAAATCATCTCGCTGTCTGATCTCTCTCCTGAGTTTGACAAGCTCCTTCACTAGTTTGGCGGTGTTCAGGTCCTCGTTCTCTGTCGAGTCGTCCGAAGCTACCGCGTCACGTTGGGCTACTGTTGTGTCTTGGGCTCTCTTGCTCTGCTGGGAGCGTGTCTCTCTCTGCTCAGTGCATTTCTCCTGCTCTTGAGCGTAGTTGTTAGGTGGTCTGGTGGTGCGTCTCGGTCTCAACAGTCGCGGTGGTGGGTCTTCGTGATCGTCGCGGTCAGGGGGTTCAGGGGTTCGCATCGCGGTCCGTCCCGACATTTTTCGCAATGGATACAGCGCTTCCCACTTTGGTTACAGGGTCTTCCAGGTGCTCACGATTGATCGGTCAAGTCGATTCAAGGCTCCTTCGAATCCTCGTGTCCTCAATATGGTACAGGATCCTTGACAGATACAGTCTATATCCCATCCTATATGAATACAGGATCAGTAGGCGTTACAGTTGATGATGATGATGATGATGATGATGATGATTTCATTTACCCTGACCCCTCGCCTAACGGCGATATGCAGGTTACAACTACTTTCTAAATACATGCTGATTGATCCCTGAGATTGTACCAAACTTCCTGGGCGGTGAACTTTGAGCCTCACCTGATAAGGCCTGTCGTGGCCAATTTGCCGTTCGAGGTGTTAGGCTGCCCTTACGGCGCGGCTGTAATGGGTTCCTAGATAAGGCGGCCAACAATTGTCCGCGGCTGGCTGCATCTCGGCTAGGAGTTTCGAAAATGCTGGCAAGGCTGAGATTAAAAACCTGGTTAGAGATTGTGTCGCAGATACGTTTTTGTTGCGAGCTCGACGAGCTGAGCTTTTGCTGGTTTTCTTGCTGAGTTGGAATGGTGATGGTTTGTTGTGGAAACGGCGGTAAAGGTCCTCGATTGTGAGTGTGCGTTTGGGGGAAGGTACGGATTGATTGGTATTGGAAGTAGATTTCGGTAGAGAAGGTCCGGAGTGTTGTAAAACTGAGGCATAGGTAGGTTGTGAGTTTGGTGTGGAGGTAGCTGGGAATGTTGAGAGGCGAGGTTGAGGAGGTTGAGAGGCTTCAGAAGAGAAGGTCGGTTGAGATTGTTGCGGCACTGGCTCGGGTATCGTACTGAACTGGTCGGATGCTGTATCAATGTTCATGGTTGAAGGTTCATGTGGCGGGATCGATGCTGGCACTGATTTGATAGGCGGTCGTTGAGGTGATGGAGATGCGGTATCTAAGCGGGTGACAATGTTGGGTGTTTCGAAAGTATGCTTCAAATCGCGACAGATGATCTGCCATATGCAGTCTGCCAAATGAAGAGTTTTCATCTCCGCGGTGTGGTTATCTTGGAGCGTGTATAAGGGCATGGTCGATCCGCAAGCAAAACAGCACGCTGATCCTCCAGATCTAGAGCACTTGAAATACAAGCCATTTTGAGCAAGTTGGAGAGGAGTGACGTTGGTAAGCACTTGTCTATGAAACGAGAGAGCTCGAGCAGCGATGGTTGAGTAGGTGATCGGGATTTGGTGGAGAGGTTTGTTGTTGTAATGCGGGGTAGTTCGGTCTGGTGGAGCGGTGGGGTTGGAGTTGGGGTTGGGGTCGGCGGGTTTGAGGAGTGAGGAAGGACGACGAAGGGCTGAGAGGGGCTTGGGTTTCCAGCCCACCCTGGCATCTAGATGTTGCGAACTCATCTCCCGTCCTGCAAGTACAGTTCGCACATTTCCGGCGTTACAGTTGATAGCGAAAACGGCTTCTACCCTGATGGCTGCTTTTCTTTTCTTGGGCCCCTCTGCCAAGGAACTAGCGTGAAATTCTATTACGCGTGAACTTGTACTGAAATGACAACCTTTAGTATTGGAATCTTGTATGGGCTCCAAGGAGACACAGCATTAGCTAAGGCGTGTATATTTAGATCAGTGATAGTTGCCCTTTCGGTTCAGCCGCCGGGCGTTAATAAATTGTGTGTGTGTACAGCAATCTGGACACCAATAAGATATTGGTGCTCATTGAAAATTTGGTTAGCTAGTCAGATTACGGATGAAAGAGTCCCTTTCATGTATCAGAGCTGTCATAATCCGATCACACAACTACTGCAGAAGAAAAAGCAAGAACACAAAACCGGAACACAAAACAAAACTGGAACACGGCATGAAATTGGAACGCGACATGAAACTAGAACAAAAATCAAACCCTACTGCTGAATAAGACCACACAAAACAATGTGTTGCAATTCCGGAAGTACACTGTGGCGCGCATGCCCATGGCCCGGTAAGTATCTGTGTTATCAACAAACTGTTTCCTTTTTTGGAACAAGAAATGAAAAGAAATAAGAAATAAGAAACTGATTATAGAAAAGAAAAAAAAAGCCTGCTGGTGAACGGTGGTACATATCCTAGAAAAAACGGGTGCCTTCATGTGTCACTTTCAAACATTGAACGTTAGCTCTCAATATACATATATATTCAAGTTCTAATCATCCGTATACTTTACTCCAATCATGGGTGGAACTTCCGAGTCGTAGTAGGACTTTCCGTCATCCTTCTCATTTAGCCATTTTAGATTCGGTAATCCAGAAAATAACAATAAATGTGACGGTGTTTTCTCATGACTAAGCGCGCCCTGGATTACCGAATCTAAAATGGCTAAATGAGAAGGAGGGCAGGGGTACTGAATACTGTAGGTCTCATTATTGAAGAGTTCTGTACAGTATCTCTACAGTCGTTCTCGAAATCGCCTTGACCGGTACACGCTCACACTCTCTCTTCTGGCCCCACCGCCAAGGCCCTAGCGCAGATCTTTCATCGCCCTTGCCACGTTGAATTGAGGACACCGTAAACCGCGCCCAGTATATTACAGTACATAACTCTGTAATATTACACCATGAGATGAGAATTCCGTGAAATTTCCATGGAAGCAAATAGTGGGTCCGCAAATCATGCGTGGACGGCCGCTGCCGCTACGCACCTGGCTCCTAGACGATGTATCAGACTGGAGCTTTACTGTATAGAATATTCCATGTGTAGTAAATATACAGCTGTATAAATTCCCCTCTTTCCCAAACCCTTCTAAAGAAATAAGAAACTAGGGGCGGGGAGAGGAAATCGAAAAGAGTTGTGTTTATATACAAAACCTAATAAAGGGAATACCACAAAGAACAGTGTCCGTCGTTTTTTCCTATGTACTGTACCCAGAACTAGACACTCAAGAGCTCCTTGCAATCGTACTGCACCGTCGCCAACAGGCCTTGTTCGTGCTCAATGGGACCTTCGCTGTTCCTGGGGTTTAATTAGCTCTCGGTGACCCACTATGTTGCTGCGGTCCCTCGTTCCGTCGCAAGTGCGTGTTCCGTAATAACCGCCTCGCACCAGGTGTAGCGTTTGGGACAAGTGTGATGGTGTCGCGTAAAGTCTTCCTTTCCAAGGAACCTTTTTAAATGAAATTAGATAATAGAGAAGAAATAATGAATTTGTACAGAAAGCCCGACCAAGGAAACCAGCCCTGATACGTGGCCTAGGGTAACAATATCATGATCAATCTGGAAATAGGAGGCCAGAAAACCTTTCGCCGTCCAACTTTATGGAATATTCATGCCCAAAGAAAATACATAGTTAACCATGTTTTGATAGAGATAACTAAAGATGTTGTTCCCGGGTAGTAAGGCTGGATGGATAGCCCTGGGTTTATAGAAAAGGATGTAGAGATATAAACAATATCGTAATCAAATATTTCCTATGACGTATTCAATATGGCTCCACCGGTCTATAGCCACTGGTCTGTATCCTGAACAATAGTAAGAACTAAAAGCCCGTCTGTTAAACAGCCAACCTGAACTGAGTTACTTTCAGTATATGTCATCTCAGCTGTCATTATAGTAGCAAATTTTCGTGGAAAAGTAATTATGTTAGTAGGTTGGCTTGAAAGTGCTTCTTCAAGTGTTCAACATCCTATTCCCGGCAGTTGAAGCGCGTCTACCACGAGGTAGTGAGTGGGGGTTAGTTTCCGGGGGAAATTTGTTTGTGTTGGTCGACATGGCTACGTGGGCGTTCAGCCAGTCACGATTGCAAACCGCATCAAGACTCGCACTACTTCCAGATTCGGCGTCCAGTTCTGATTATCTGATACAGTGCGTCCCGAAACCGGTGCCAGCAACTGGGACGGTAGAACATTAAGAATGTTGATAGGAGGATATGGCACTCCAGTTCCAATGGCCTGACCTCCTTTGCGCTTGTCTTTCTCTAGCCTCTGTTGCTCTTCCCTGTATAATTCGTCGCGTACAGCTTCGGGCACGTCTTTGTGACTCTCCAAAATCCCGCCCTCTTCAACATGGGTTATCAGACGTTTGATATGATGGGCTTTGATTGGGTAATGCTTCTTTCCCATTGGGTCCACCCAACAATGAGGGCCATGCTGACACGTCGATAAGTCGCATCGCATTAACCTATAGACACTGTTCCAGATTGGTTTCTCACCAGAAGTACCCTCCTCTGTATGAAGTTGTGCGTCTCGTTCGCGAAGCATTCTCTGTGTAGTAGATGTTTTCCCCCTTTTATCTCCCTTTTGACCAACGGCTGGGGAAGAGCGGTTATTCATATAGTTGAAGCTAATCTTCAGTGTAAGCTCTTTACTGTGGGAGAAGACATCTGACCACATTAGAAGCTGTCTCTCAATAGTAGTCCAATTTATGTCAGTATCTTCGAATTGCTTTATCAGTTTGCGTTTAGTACAATCGCTTGTTGATGCAACGATGACAGTATCATCAGATCTCAACCAGCGATAACGGGCAGCCTTTCGTCGTAAAGTTTTCTCTAGCTTTTTCTCCAATAATAGCTACCAAAAGACACTAGACACTAAAACCACATCTTCCTCCGTGTCTGTTGACACCTCTCTATTATTGACTGTCACTCACCACTCAATACGATAGTGGATACAAGTTGGCAGGTCCTCGTTGTAGTCTCTTCCGTCTTACCACTTAGATAATACTAAAAATTTAAGAGCACATAGATCAGAGTTACTCGCGAGCTCGATACGAGATGGAGAGGGGCTCAAGGCAGAAAGTAAGGCACAAGGGCTACCATAGAGACCAGGAGTTAGTACATAATCCGAGTTCGGTTCCCATAGTTCGTAGTCCACGAATTGAGGTAAGTCGTCGACATTGTATTGGATCATCTCCTAAATATAGGCACGGTTCTTCTTGAGAGAAACATTAGCTTTTCTCGGATAGCATTCTCTAGTGCAAGGTGGTAACAAATAAGACTGGCGATGGCGAGAGCTTAATCCACAGGAGCAGTAAAACATATTTCCCTACCAGGTCTAGCCGTCTACGGCGCAAGCACAGCCTTCTAAATTATGACTGGTGTTGATGAATGTTGCACTGCATTTGAGGTGAAAGAGGCAAAACGAGACTGGCGGGGAAAAGGGCAGCTAGAGGGCGATCTTGCCAGATTGCCAGATCTACAATACCTATACAATTCTAGATAGTTCTACGTACTATTACGGTACTTTAACAATAACACAACAAAAGTACAAGATCATTACGATAACGGTTCTGCCGACATTATGAGGCGGTGACCCAAAGAAGGTTAGCGTGTTTCGGACTTATTTTCCGGGAATCAAGTCGTAAGTGTGTGGTGGTACATATAACTGAATTGGAATATCACTGTATAATGAGAATATTCAGCGTGCCACCGGTGGGAAAGTGGGGTAGACGATCGTGCCAGAACACTAGTTCTACAGAACGATATGCAGGTCCCGGGAAAATTCGATGTTAACGTAATAATTGTCACCTTTTGGCGGCGGTCAACGAAGTTTGCTCGTCAACGAGACTTTTTTTGATTTTTTTAGCTATTTTAACCCATAACGCCAAATATAGAAACAATTAACTATAGTCCTCTTCTAGATTAGGCAATAACGGAGGGCATTCGACATCGAAATTGTCTAATTTTGCTCGTAAAGCATCGCTTATGGCCGGATAAGGTAGTGGATTGTGTAACTGCGTAAGCACTTCTTTGATCTTCTGCCTTTTTTCGATCACGAATGTGGCGATGGCATCTTGAGTGGATAGGGCACCAAATTTGCCTATGTGCTTTTGCGACTTGCGTACAGTTTGGCGTTGTGTAGGCAATCTATTCTCTAGGGTATCCTGTAGTAGGCCTATATCCTCTGCGAGCTGGATCTGGGATTGGGCAACACGAAGCAATTGTAAACCCTAAACCCAAAAATCAAACCTTAATCCAGAATAAGACCACACAAAACAATGTGTTGCAATTCCGGGAGTGCACCATGGCGCGCATGCCCCTGGCCCGGTAAGTATCTGTGTTATCAACAAACTGTTTCCTTTTTTGGAACAAGAAACGCAAAGAAATGAGAAAAAAAAATACTTACGGATTAAAGAAATCAAAAAAAGAGCCTGCTGGTGAACAATGGTATGCTGGTGAACAATGTTACATATCCCAGAAAACAGGGTGCCTTCATCTGTCACTTTCAAATGTTCAACGTTAGCTCACAATATTCTATATATATTCCAGTTCTAAACAATGTAGTTTACTCCAATCATAAGCGGAACTTCCGAGTCGTAGTAGGACTTTCCGTCATCCTTCTCATTTAGCCATTTAGATTCGGTAATCCAGGAAATGACGATTCCTGGATTACCGAATCTAAAATGGCTAAATGAGAAGGAGGGCAGGGATACTCG